TATGTGTAATTAATTACCTTATTAATTTTACGATATATAATTACAATATATCAACAATAGGAAATTTACATTTTTAATTAAGTAACTCATGTACAATCATATATATATATATATATGTCTAAACTAGGTTAAGTATCCACGCTTTTTTCTTACAAAAAATATGATTTTATTGTCCACTCCGAACAAGTAATAGATAATTTGTGCACAAAAATTTTGATTTGTATATTGGAAGCAAAAATATGACATGACTTCTCTTTTTATGTTATAGGAAATCTGAATCATGCGTTACGTTATATCAATATTTCGATAAATAAGCAACAATTAAATTTTTTCTAATTTCAACTCACATCATATATTCACTCTTATCATTTCAAAATAACCTTGTTTTTTCTTTATACATGTAGAATAGCCTAAGAAAGAAATCTTCCAGATGTACTTCTTTGATTTTAATGAAACTTACGTTTTTGTAAAGAGGATAAAAATGTTCGATATTTTTTATCAGCGACCAAACATATTTAAGGAGGTTGTAAGGCAAATGCAACACGTTAATAATTTAAAAAATTACGAATTATTCTAAATTGTATTTAAAAATAATAAAATTAGACATAATTTATTTGGATCAAATTATTTCAATAAAAATAATATTTTTTAAATTTATACTATAATAGAAATATATGGAAATGTATTATAAAATAATGATGAAAATAAAAATCTCAATTTTTTAAATATAAGTTCTTTATGAATTCAAGAATATTTATGAAATATTCTATAATTAAGAATATTTATGTTATATTGAGATGCAGACATTAGTTGTTCAGTAAATAAATAAAATATTTATTCGTTATGAACCAATTGGTAAATTTGAATAAAACTTTGCAATAAGTCATTTTTAAAAATACTTATATCAAAAAATTTAAATTTTTATTATTTAAAAAAATTTTTGTTTCTTCTTCTTACATTAAGCTTCTGTGTTACACCTCTCTCATATGCTTATGTGCATGATAATTCAATTGCCATGAGCATGAGACTTATATAGTTTTAATCGGTTTCAAGACGGCGGATTTTTAAGATGTGGAAGGATATTTCCACAGGAGATTGCCGGCTTTCTCCAAGAGGAAACAGGAGCATAAATATTTTGATTCCTACTGGGATCGAACTCGGGAGTCCTAATAATAGACCAGTAATAGACCAGTGCACTGTCTGCTAAATTTTATAACAATAAGAATAACAAATAAAATAATCTATAAAAATGTGTTGCTCAATAAAAACAGAATGTAAACACAAGTTTCATATGTACGTAGTTTTTTGTTTAAAGTTTAAAGTTAAAGTTTTTTTGTTTCGTAAATATTTAATATGTGTTTTATACCCTTACAACCTTCTTAAGACATGAAATTAACCAAATTTTCTTTTTTCGGCTATAACTTTTGAATGAAGTATGATAAGTGTAATTTCATTAAGATGGTTCTTTAGTAAATTGAGTTACCATAGAAATGTTTAATTTTTTTATAAAATGAAGTGGAAATATTGAAATTAATGTGTGCAAAATTTTATGGAAAATTAACGATGAAATAAAGAGAAAAAAAAGTTAAAAATGTAACTTTTCACGTACAACTTAGTGACAGATAAGACTCGCAGATAATTCTTCGACTAATTGCATACAAATCTTACCATAGACTTTCCTCAAAAACGAGATTATAAAGCATCGTCTGCAATGAACAGAAGCAGTAGAGGCTATAGATATCGGGAGTAAACCCAGCCAGAAACGTCGAGCGACGTTAAATCAGCATCGATTTGATGTTAATCGATCAATCCTTTATGGTTGAGTCGGAAAACCAGCTTACTCCCGACGTATTCCTCTACTGCTACTGTTTATTGTAGACGACGCTCAATAGTTTAAAAAAATCACAATTTTAATGGTCATAAAAAAAATAATAGGTCAACAGCCATTCTGGAAAGATATTTACATGCATTACTTGCATATAAGAACTTCGCACAGCGATTTTAGCAGAGATTGATATATAATAACTCAAAAACTATTTATTATTTTACTTCGTGCTTATGGAGACTTTTGATCAGGACGACCAGAACTACAACATAAATTCAGTTAATGTAGCCATCCATATGTTTTGTCCTTTAACTTCAAAAAATAAACGTAATCTCATCTTGTTTTCTTCCGATGAAAATGCAGCTCTTGATTTACTATCCTATGTTCCATATTATTTCATTAAGATACACGTAATTTTAATATTTTATCCAAATTATCCAGATATTTGTAATTTTGGGTGGTCCTGATGAGGCACTCCAAATTTTTGGCACTTTACTAAAGAACCACCTCAATATACAAATGTACTTTTCTTGTAAATATTTTTACAAATTATTTAACTGTTAATAATACATTATAAACATATCATATTGCCTTTTATGTTTTGTGTAAGTAATGTGCCGATACAAAACTTTCCTGTGAAATTATATCACAGATTGGAGAAGCCCATTTTCGAGATATTGCATTTTGTCACATTAATACTTAAAAATGCAACAATAATTGTTGTATTTTTAACTATAATTGTGTATATATACATATATAAATATTGTAATTTCAATATTCTCTTATTATCACTTTACAGTTGTTCATTTCAACAAGCAATGTTATTTACGTTCTTATTTAAAATTATAACTTAAAGTGTTGAGTTGCCACATTTAGGGAAAGTTTTATATAATATTCATTTACTATATAATAAATAAAGAATTGCTGGGTACAAAGTCAATATTATAAACAATCAGATGCTGCGCTATACAGAGTGTTTCATAAATGCATGTTAATACTTTAGAACAGTACTGAAATTTGCTTGTTATATTTCGGCCGATTTTTAGTTTGATTCCTACTCCTTTACTGTGTAAGTAACGTGTTAATGCACAAGGCGGGCATTGCGAACATTTTCTTTAATCATTCATAACTTGAAAACTAAGATATATAAGAAGTATAATCAAATTAAAAAGGAAAACTCTATGTAGGACATATATTTATATTAATAATAATAAATAAATTTTAAGGCTAATGAGAATTAGCGCAGAAGAGATTGCGCAGTTATCAATAAGTAAAATTATTTCTTCATAAAATTGATATCTTCTTTATTTCAAAATCTTGAACGTTTCGACTCGCTTTATAGTCATACTGTGCGCAACCTTTTCTACGATGCTCTCATTAGCCTTTTATTTATTATTTATTATTATTTATTTATTATTATTATTTTAAATATAGAATTTTTAATCATTATATATGTTTATGTGACGTTTTTTTATTTATTTTAGTATATAGATTTACCTTCTAAAATATTGACATATATTTATGAAACATTCTGTATATTAGATGGTAAACTTAATTCCTATCGTTTTTTTGTTTCCAAAATTTTTCAGCCATTGAAATAACATTTAACACTTTCAACAACTCTAAAAGCGTTTGAACTGGATTTTTATCGAGCAATTCTCACAGCTCGATCTTCAAATTTTTTTCGGTTGTTCGGGATGTTCTTTATCTCTCACATCAAAATCACCATTTCGAAAACGTTCAAAACGAACACATGTTCTTTTCGATGGAGTTTCATCACCATACATTTCGAATAATAAGCGATGCGTTTCAGCTGCAGTTTTCTTGAGATCGAAGTAGCAAATATCGGAAAAACAGCTTATCGCAGTTCATTTTCAATCGATTAGAAAATCTCTTTGGTGTCAAGAAATTTAACCTGTGAGGACTGAATTTCAGTAATGTCTAAACTATAAAAGACATGCGACTTCACTCGCCGCAATCAAAACTCGCCAGCGTTGGAACCTCTAATAGCAAGCGGCAGGAATTAAGTTTATCACCTTAATACAATACATATCTAAACATAAAAATATGTACATATATCTAGACATAGATATATATGTACAATTACTATTATTACAGTAATACATACATTTATAATTAATTCAAATTTATGCGCGCCTCATTCCGTCATATTCTTGTGCAAATATTTAAAAAGAAAAAGGGAAATGCGAAAATAAAAATTATGTCAACGATTCGCGTTTGAGTAAACATTTTCGTTGTACAAAAACGAGGCATCCAACATTTATGTTTATATCACTCTTTTAGGTCACGATTTATATTGCACTGACAATATTCGTCACCCTGCATGACTTTCTGGTTCAGTTTTATAATCTTGCATGGTAAGGATATAAGGCACGACGCTAGCCACGCTTACTCGACCAATTAGACCCGAGAAGAAGAGATCCTCCAGAACTCTAGGATTAATCGAGCGGAGAGGTGCTAACCTCAACAGAAGGCGAGGTAATCTATCGGAGCCTACACGTTGCTGCAGCTCCGTCCATGCTGCTTCCTGCAAAACTTCAACTTTCTTATGCCAGATGCCTGCTAAGACATTATCTAAAAAATAACAGTAAATGTGTTAGTCCGATATGATAAATAAATATCATGATAAATTAATAGATAAACTTCATTGTTTGTCATTTACATTCACTTACCAGCACTAAAAAGCGTTAAAGCTTTAAGATATGCGTATTCGACGGAATCCACTTGTAGCTTGTGCAGTGAATTTACACAATCCTGTAGTCTCCATATATGTTCTGTAACGCATTTTACTTTGCCAGCGGTGACTTTCTCTTGTGCGATACTAGCTTGTAAGTGATTAATTATCGATGTCAAAATACTAGGAAGTGACAAGGTATATGCACATTGTGCCAGACCTAATGTGAACAATTGTCCCCAGGAACTTCTAACTAAAGTAGTTTGAACATCAGATCTAAAACGTAAAACGTTTATCTTAAACGACGTTATAACTTTATCATCAATATGATCAAGAGGTAGACGTATACTATTTCTATAAATTACATCACACTTACGGCAAAGCTTGAAATGCTGGAATTCCTCGTGCCCAATGTACAGACAAAAATAATAATCTAGCTGCACTTTCACATATATAGTGAATAGACAAATACACAGGTGCTGGGCTAGGTGCCCTCAATTCAAACAACGTATTTCGCTCAGAGATTAATTGGCCGGTCCATTCTTCCTCCGGTTCGCTCGAGCCATTAACATTCTACAAGCAGATATCGCGATATATTAACGACCTATCTATAGAAATAATACAATGAGATAACAATCGTAACTTACATCACCAATGATTTTAGCCATACTATCTGCTAACGCATGAGAAAGGAGTAAACGCTCACGAGCTAAGGTCAAAGCATCGCTGAGAGCGTCACTATCGCTGCTTTGGTCTTCCATGCTAGGGCTCTCAGGTTGTTCCCAAGTCGGCAGTGCCTCGGGCGCAGGCTGTTGTGGCTCAGGTTTTACCCTAGGGTTACGATTGCTAACTTTTGTCCCAGCCGAATCACCCAATACTGGTTTTCTCTCATGTTGTACAGCTGCAACATCGTAACAAGTCCTAGATTCGATCTCGATCTTCACTCGATCTTTTATATATGTAAATAAATAAATAAATAAATATATATATA